AAGTACACGTATGCGTAAAACGGGCGTGGAAAGCATCACTTGATCGAAGTGGTATAATCCGATAAGACGTTCGAACGAAATAAGACTTGAAATAAATCTATTTTATTTTATTAATTAAATATTTTATGTGAATGATTCAATGTGTTTTTATTAATTTATTTTTATGTAATTATCGATATTAATTTATATTCGATTTGTATATTTATTAATGAGGGAATATTCTTTTATTGATAAGAAATAATCGAATTCGCTTTCCCAATGGAGGGTGCTAATTTAAATATTTCCTTTCAAGTTAAAGGATTTTCTGTAATTAATTAATTCGAAGCAAATTAATTATAATTCAATAAACGGATTATCTTTTAACTTTATATTCAATTCGTAATTTCCACCATTTACGACAACGTGTAAGCGACACAGTACCAATTTTGGGCGCTGTGGGGGTGCTTATCCTTCCCCACACGTAACCGACTCCCGAACCTGTTTTAATTGAATCTTTGGTAAAAGCAGACCACTTCAGTCTTAAAAATGATTTTTTAAAAAAAACATTTTTGGGTATTCGACCTACCTAATCCAAAGGTCAATGGCGACTCCTTTTCCAATTTAATCCAAATCAATCCAAAATCACCAATTTTTCCAAATAAAAGTCATAATCGTTTTTAAAAATAATATTTAATTGTTTTACTTAAAAATGGTTATGACAATTTTATTTCATAACAGAGAAAAGAAATCCAAGTGTTTGGACTAAATTCTGAACTTAGGACATATATTGATGCTGAAATAAAATTTCCCCACTTTTTCATATTCTTCCGCTCTTGGTAAATTACATAAATGTTTTATTTTGCAATTATAATCTTTTATTTGGAGTAAAAATGATTTTTCTACGATTTATGTTTCGGCCAGCCGGCGGCTAGTCCTTCCTTCCCCTTCCCGAGACAATAAGCTATCTTCGTGGAGGATCTTTTGTTTCTCTTAAGATAGTACCGGAACTACTCCTCTGGGCTATGGATCCACCTTTCGGTTTCAGTTTTTGAGTGGACGTCGCCTGTGACCTTATTTTCGTTCTCTTTGGAACTAAACTAAACGGGTGAGCTTCTTTATTCTTGCTCTTCTACTCTAAATACCCTTCTTCTTCTTTGAGGAATGGTTTATTTCAGATTGATTTTACTGTGACGACTGACCATCATAGCATTTGCTTGTTCTTCGAATGTGCGTAGGTTAACTAGACAATAGCTTTTATTCAATTTGAACAATTATATCTAAATTGTTGCATAGGATGAAGAGTGGGCCCTGTTAGAGGAGCTTGAAATCACACACACAGTGTACATGCATGATATTGATGGCCAAAGTATAGGCACAGTACTTTCTTTTTCCTACATGATATTGATGGAATGTTGATGCTCCGGCACAAAGGCCGGCATTGCTAAACTGCAATAAGGAGAAAGGAAATAGACAATGGAAAACAAACAGAGAGTATTAAGTTTTTTCACTAACTGTAGAAAATGGCTTACAACGATATTCAACACATTACAATGATTGGGTATTTATAACCTAATATTAACACCCTAACAAATCTAACAAATTCTTAACTAATTGCCAACTAACATCAACTACTTAACAGTCTAACAGATATGTTATGATAAGGAATCAAACCCGTCTCTTTTTAGACTACAGAGCTATAATTCGTGTTCTGCAGGTAGAATCGTAATTGCTTTTTGATTTTTCTTCTCCAAGTGTTTGAGAATTTGTTTTGTCTTACAAAGGAATCTATGAAGTCTTCAATAATGGCCATGTGTCAAGCTCCAACTATTTACCATATTATTAGCTTAGATTTCCAACCTATCATGATAATTGAATTTTTTTTTATTTTTTATAGTGAAAGATACACTAAAGTATTTACATAATCTTAAAAAAAAACATTGTGTTTTCGGCATCAATATATCCACATCAAAATGATATCATCATTAATGAAAATTATAGTCCACGTTAACCTATCATTTATCCCCATAATCTTTCATATTATCTCAGTTTCATTTTTTTTTGGGTTCACGTTTCTATTTGCTTTTGTAAATGAAATCATTTAATATTATTCTTTAAAAAATTAAATAAATATTTTATAATTATTTTATATTATTAAAAAAAGATAAATGAATGTTAGATGTCATATGTTTATTAAAATAATATTTTTTTTAACTAAATAGACTAGTTTAATGGAATACAAATAAAGCAAAAAGGTATAGGTAACGTACTTAAAAAATAACTAACGTGAGCATCTTATTATTTTCTCTCTCAATGTAATCCTTTAATTCAGAAAATAAACATATTGTGATCATTTGACCAACATTTTCCGTCGCTGACCATTATAGTACTGACATGACGGTCTACGGTGTTGACGTGACAGTCTATTTATTATGTTTAAGTTGTCAATTTAGTTCATTTGTCATTTCATCTACTACATTATCAACCATTGTAGACTGTTATGTCAGCACTGTTACAGTCAACAACGAAAAACGTTGGTTAAACGGTCACATTAGATTTATTTTATGAGTTGGAAGACTACATTGTTAGAAAAAAAATACGAGAGCCATATTATTTCTCTAACGGTTAGGACAAGATCTACTCTTGTGGCTATGAATCCACCTTTTTGGTTTCAGTTTTTGAATGGAGAAAGAGAGACGGCACTCTCAGAAGTTTATTGAATTAATCGTAACGTCTCCAATAGAAACCGATTCATAGGTTAACAATATGTAACTCGCTAAGCAAAGACTGAAGCAACAAAACTTCAGTTGTCGCACATGCCACACTGCGATATTCAGCTTCAACAGTCGATCGAGATACTTGTTGTTTCTTCGAATCCCATGAGACGGGATTTCCTCCAAAATAAATGCGAAAACCTATAGTAGACCGTCGATTATCCGGATCAGTGCTCCAATCAGCATCGACAAAACCGATTATTGCTAATCGTGAAGAACTAGAAAATTTTAAGCCATAGTGAAGAGTGCCTTGGAGATATCGCAGAATTCTTTTAACAATTTGAAAATGTACATCGGATGGAGCTTGCATAAATTGACAGACCCGATTTACAACGAATGCAATATCAGAACGTGTAATTAATATGTATTGTAATGCTCCTATAATCTGCCACATTTATAATCGCACTTCCATCTTGGATTGACAATTTGCAGTTATTTACTAGTGGCGTGGGTAGACATCTAGCACTCTCAAACCCAGTTTTTCTCAATAATTATCCAATGTAGTTGCTTTGATTCAAGAACAAACTAACTTCTGTGTAGCACACTTTAATACCAAGAAAATAGTTTAAAAGACCAAGGTCCTTAAGTGAAAAAAACTTTATCCGGATTAGAAATAACTTTTTGAATTTCAGCTTCGTTATCACTAGTAAATATTATATCATCTACGCACTACAGCAAAATTGTTCTACAGCGGCGTTTTTAGCGGCGTTTTAGGAGTAAACGCCACTAATTTTAAACATATAGCGGCGTTTACATAGAAAACGCCACAAAATGGTAACTTTAGCAGCGTTTTTATAAAAACGCCGCAATAGGTTCATAGATAGTGGCATTTTTCAACAAACGCCGCAAAAGAGTAGTACTTTAGTGGCATTTTTATACAAACGCCGCTATAGAATTGTACTTTAGTGGCGTTTTTATACAAACGCCGTTATACATATGTACTATAGTGGCGTTTGTGTTTACAAACACCGCTAAAGACTCATAATTTAGTGGCGTTTTTATACAAACGCCGCTAAAGACTCATACTTTAGTGGCGTTTTTATAAAAACGCCGCTAAAGACTCGTACTTTAGTGGCGTTTTTATTAAAACGCCGCTATACACTTGTACTATAGTGGCGTTTGTGTTTACAAACGCCGCAAGTTTACAAATTTTAAGTGTCACGCCCTTTAAACTACACTGCTTCTGCTTTACCAGATTTCTGCTGTTTAAAGGCTACTTGCTTCAACTAGTTTGATGGATTTTAAGTTAAAAACGAACCCTAACCCTAACCCTAACGACTATGGTAAAAAGGCCCAAATTGTTGATCTTGGAAACGGAAGCAGTGTAGTTTACGTTCCCAAGTTTTTAGCATACGATGTCTCATGGGAATTCTTCAGTTACCTCGACAATCACATTCCTTGGACCAGACCCACCATTCACGTCTTTGGTCGATCTTGCATGCAGGTTCTCTTTTCCCCCTTATAATTCCCTGTATTTTACTCGAAACTTTGATTTATGGGTTGTGGAAAGAAGCAATTTTTATATCTTCAGTTTGCCACTAATCCAGGATCACTCTTTTAAAGAATGTGTAATTCTAGGGCCGAGAGGTAAATTCTATTTTGCCTTTTTCATTTTAGGTGTTATTTAGGGTTTTTCTTTTGGTTTTTTATACCTTGTTGTTGAGCATTTCTGAAGAGAAGAGAAGATGAAGTTTTATTTTGTTTCTAAAATTTATATTCTTATAAATATTCTTTGGATGTGATTGTTGATTGTTGGTGCGCTGAGAAGCCTAGATTAATATTCATGAAATCGTTCATTGTTTAGATTGTATAGAATCTCTTAGAACCTCTTAATTTTCAAATTTATTGTCTCTTAATCATTTTTTCCGCTGGTTCTTTAGAAATTAGTGTAACTCCTTTATAATATTACATAGTTGCCTTGATAGCCCGCATTTATAATCTCACATAGTTACTTATTTGGCTCAATTTTATGTGCATTGGAAGGAATTTCATTATACGGTAAAGGTCTAGTAACTGTAGTTGTGGAAGTTGAATCCCATTTCACGAGTTTTCTTTATGTTTGTTGATTTGTGGACAAATTTTACAGGTTTGGCACAGCCGACTCAAAGGGATCAAAAACATCAAAGCAATCTGAGGAGGTGAAGAGGAAGGCTAGAGCAGAGAGGTTTTTGTCCATATCACCTTTACCCAGTCATGGTATTGCTCAGAGTTGCACTAAATTGATTTATATATTCTTTTCATTGGTTACCAGGTTTGGGCTTGCTGCGCCCTCTACAGCTGTTGACGAGGAAGAGAAGAAAAAAGCTCGACTAGCCCGATTTGCACCATATGCCAAACCTGATACAGTGGAAGGAGAAAAGAGAAAAGCTAGGGCGATCAGGTATGTTCCATTGCTAAAGCACCCTTTCCTACATTGTTAGATATATATAATGCCTAAAGAAGTCTTTATTGAAAAAGGTTTCTGTATGTTGAGATTGAAATTTGACTTTTTTCCTGGTCATTCCAGGTTTTCTAATCCTCCGTCAAGTTCTTTAGCACAGGTAAATGACAAGACAAATATTGAACCTGTTAGGGCTTAATTAGTTGTTTCCCTATCAAATTTCATGGATCTGAGGGAAAAATTGTGTTTTAAAGGTGTATACTCTCTTCCAGGAGGCTCCTATTGCTGGAAAGGCTGGTGCAGTGCTCTAAGTTGAAGTTACCGTAGTTAGAAGGTATCTTTGGAGATATTATTTGCCGTATGCAGACATAATTTCTTGTTTAAGCTTTAAATAGTCTGATCCATTTTATTATCAGTTGCTCAGATTTTGCATTATTGTTTTCTTTTCCTTTTCAGGTCCAATGTCCTAACAGCATGTGATTCTCTTGAAGCTTCTTTATAGTGTTTTTTTCTAACATCAAAATTCTAAGAGCAGTATGCCATCTCCATATGAATTTCTGAATCAGTGGCAATAAGAGTTTTGAAGAATGTGTAAGATTAGAAACAAAATATCTTAGATATTATTATTTATTATAGTTAATAATGTTGAACTACATTATATTTTACGTTAATGTAAACTTTGATTTATTATTATGGATTTCATTTTTCTTGTTATGGATTTTAAGTTTGTTGTTATGGATGTCAAGTTTATTGAAAAATGCTACAAGTTAAATTTGGGTAATAAAAGAGTAGAAAACAACATTTGACAAATTAGTTTTAATTTGCAAAATCAATTTCTTTTAGCTATAGAGAGGTAATTAGCGGCGTTTGTTCTAAAAACGCCGCTATATACCAGATCTTTTGCGGTGTTTGTGAGAAAAACGCCGCTCAATCTCAACACCTATTGCGGCGTTTTTGGGGAAAACGCCGCTAAATCTCAACACCTATTGCGGCGTTTGTAGGAAAAACGCCGCCAAATATCAACACCTATTGCGGCGTTTGTTGGACAAACGCCGCTATATATCGTTACCTATTGCGGCATTTTTTTTTTTACCAAACGCCGCAAACTTTAGCGACGTTATTTGCAGCGGCGCTTTTTGCGGCGTTTGTCATAGCGCCGCAGGTGTTTTTTGCGGCGCTTAAAAACGCCGCTATAGGTATAAAAAAATGCCGCAAATGTACAGTTTTGCTGTAGTGACGTACACAAAAAGATATAACATACCTTCAACCGTTTTTCAAACAAATAAAAAGGTATTAGATTTTGATAGTTGATAATCTTTCGAAACCAAATAATCTTTCGAAACCAAATAATCTCTCAACTTCTCAAACCATGCTCGAGGTGCTTGCTTTAAGTCATAAATGACCTTGTTTAGTCTACAAACTAAGCTTGTAGTAACTTGTTCGAACCTAGGAGGTTGAAGCATGTATACTTTTTCTGTCAAATCCCAGCTTAGAAAGGCATTATTAATATCGACATGTCATAGTTTCCATCCTCTTGTTACAGCAACCGAACATATTGTTCTTATTCTGACTGATTTAACAACCGGACTAAAAGTCTCATGAAAATAAACATCAGTTTGTTGAGAAAAGCCTTTGGCTACAAGACTCGCCTTGTAGCAAACAATCGATCTATCTATGTTTTTTTAATCTTAAAAATCTATTTACAATTGACTGTCTTTCGATTTGATTGTAACTCAACTAATGTCCACGTACCATATTTTATTAGCGCATCGTATTCAGTTTGAGCAGCTGACTTCCATATCATTGCGCATAGCTTCCTCAATAGTATGAGGTTCTTTAGGCTCTTGATTAATCTCACAAAGAGACACCGTAGAAGAAGACTTGTCTACTTAAAAAATTTAGGTTTTCAAATCCCACACTTTCCCCATGTCATCATGGGATGGACATTTCTAACCTCTGGAATACTTATAGGAAAAGGTTGATTTGTTAACGGAAGCTCAGCTAAACCCTCTGCATTGCTCACTGAACTAGTCGGGTCTGTTGAACCAAGAAAACCTGCTGAACTTAATTGTTCTTCATTGAAATCTGAACATGGACTTGCAACTGGGTCGAAAATATCGTTCCCATCATTATTTATGTCATCAACCATAGTATTATCTCTATCATTAGGAAAAACATTATCCCCATCATTATTTATATCATCAACCGTAGGACTACTCCTACCATTATTCACACTATCAACTGCTGGAAGTAACTCAACACTCGAGTGAACACCTGCTGGATTTAATGCAACATTTTATCAAAATCGGGAGTAGTAGTTTCAGCTGGAATCATGATCAATGGAATTCCATTCGAAGTGTTATCACTTGTATGATGTCTATTACTTGAGCGAATATTACTCTCAGCAAAAGGAAAACTGGTTTCATCAAACACAACAAGCCGAGAAATAATCAACTTACCATCATTCTTTAAGCACTTGTACCCCTTATAAAAGGAGCTATACCCGAGAAAAGTACACCGTTCAGACCTGAAATCCAACTTATGTGAGTTAAAAAGTCACAAAAGAGGATAACACATACATCCGAAAATTTGAACAAAAGAATAATCAGGCTTTCGATCATACAAAATCTCATAAGGTGTTTTTCCTTGTAAACTTGAGACGGTAACCTATTTATCAAGAACACAACAGAAGTAAAAGCAAAGCTCCAAAATTTTAGAGGCAAAGACGCTTCAACAAGTAAAGTTAAATCCATTTCGACTATATGTCAGATGCTTTCTCTCAGCTTTTCCATTATGTTTCGAAGAGCTTTTCGTTTTCGCTTCCCCGGGTGTTTGAGAATTTGTTTTGCCTTACAAATGAATCTCAGAAGTGTTCATTCATGGCTGATTCGGTTCGTACACCGTCCAAGCGAGTTTGCATTTCTAATGATGAAATGTAAAAGGGTGAAGAAGACATTGATCACCTACCGGACTCAATTCTCTTTCATATACTTTCCTTTATCCCCGCCAAAATGTCTATTGGCACCAGCATTCTGTCAAAGAGAGAGATAAATTTATGGATTACTGTTCACGTTCTCTCATTCGATTCCACTGCATTTATGGGCAGCTTCGAGAATTCTGTAGATAAGGTGTTAACCATGTGTCGAGCTCAAACTATTTACCAGGTTAGCTTATATTTCAAACCTATCCAGATAATTGATGAAGAACGTTTAGATACATGGCTTAGTGCTGCAATTGACCGTAATGTTCAAGAGTTGAATCTCAGTTTCTGTTCTTCAACTCGACCACTTTTTTCACTTGGACCATTAGTTAGACTGCCTGATCATGTTTTCTTGGATGTCCCTGCAAATGTTTGTTTCCAAAGTCACCGTATTCTTCAAATAGAGCGATTACGCTATGCAAGTAATGGATCTTTGAACAGTCTACTTTCTAGTTGTCCTATTCTTGAGGATTTGGTTGGCGTGAGACTTTGGATGACGGTATTCATGATCAGGGGATCAATGTTCCTTCATTGAAGAGAATGAATGTGAAGAGACCTAGTTTTGAAGTTATGGTTACGATTTGTTGATCAAGGCCCCAATGCTCGAAAGGATAGAATTGGCGGATGATAGTATTTTGGATTTTCAGGTAGAAAGATTTATCCAACTTGGTGGAAGTGATCATTAATGATGGTGGAACACATATGCTCATTAAAGGGTTGGGTAACGCTAAGTTTCTCTCTTTATCTGACATCACGTCATTATATTGTGATTTAGGGTTACCTGTGTTTTGTAATCTGGTCTGTTTGGAAATCACAACCTGCTGTGAATATTGGGATGCCATGGAAGATTAGCTTAAACGCTCAGACAATATCAAGGATTTAGTGTTTCACATTAAAGTACCATTATACCACATGGGTCGTGAATGTTGTGAGTATTGCGAACGACTGTTCCGAGGTGTCGATGAGATTGGAGACAGTTAAATTAATTGGATTCATTAATTAGGAATGTAATTGTATATTCGTTCAATATATTTTGAAGAATGCCAAGTTCTTGAAGCAAATAAAGGTAGGACTTTGTCACGATTGAAAATACGACGCCACCGTCTGAAAAACATTTTGAAGTACCCTAGGGTCTCAATGTAATGCAAATTTTTTTTTTTGGCTTTCCACACGGATAGACTCATCAAGTTGGAGCAAATCTCAATTTCATGGGAAAAGATAGTCGAGAGAGTTGAAAAAGCTGAGGATGAGGCCAAGGAGACCCAGGGTGTTGTGGAGTCCCGCCTTGATAAATTAGAGTCCATAGAGGACATGTTCAAAGACGAGATGCAACGAGTTCTCAATGAGATGGAGATGGTTTGAGCGAGTAATGCCCATGAAGCTGAAGTGATGGCTTTGATAAGATAGGTGAATGAGCTTAAGAAAGAGATACCCATATGCAAGGGAGCAATGAGTGAATGGGTCGCGCTCAAGACCTTCTTAGAAGGACTCAAATCATGGGTAATGCTTGGGGGAGAGCAAGATGATGTCCACAGACTTTCGGAAGCCATAACTGTAGCCTAAAAGTTGACCGAGCTTGCGGGAGATAAGCCAACTAGCATTGTGTCATCCATACCCATGCCCATGGATAGAGGCAATAATGGGGGAGACCAAGAAAATGTGCAATATTGTGATGGTAAAGGAAGCTCTTCGAATGGCCAAGGTAAGTAATCAACTATTCGTAGCCAAGGAAAGCCATTGGGAAAGAATGACAAGGCTAAGTCAGATGTAAAGAAGAAGGCAAGCAAGGAAAAGTTGAAGTGCTACTTTTGTGATAGTCCTTATTTGATTAGAGGATGTCCCGAGAAGCATCGACTTGCAACCATCATGAAGAGGATGAGAGAAGGAGAAGTAGAGGGAATTGGTGCTGCTATAAGTGTTAAAGCTGCCAAGCCAGTGAAAAACCTTTGTCCGATTGAGGGTGTCAATGCAGTAAAGCAAGGAATGAGACGAGGTAAGGTTGTTGATTTTGAGGTAACCGAACCCAAAGGAAAGTTTGATGCGATTGCGAGTGTCCAAGAAATCAAGTCAAGAGAAGGACTTGGTGAGGCTACATGTTCCAAAGTAGTCGAATCAAGAGGGAAACATGGTGCGACTACATGTTCTCAAGTAGTCAATCCAGGATCGAGACGTGACGAGACTGCAGGTGTCAAAGCAGTCAAACACAGGAAAGGACCCGGTGTTATAGCGAAAGATAAAGTTGTCAAGCCGAGGGTGTAAAGTGAGCAAGTTCACTTACAGTATGCCAGGATGGTGGTGTGGTCCAAGTTGAGGCGTCTCAGTCATAAAGGGACACTTAAGGAGTATGTGAGCCGATTCAGTAAACTCATGTTCAAAGTCCCGAATTTAACTGAAGAATATGAGTTCTTCACCTTCATGTTCGGATTGAAGCCATGGGCAAAGAAAATGTTGGAGCGAAGAGAAGTTAAGGAGTTATCTAAAGCCTTGACAACTGTCGAGTCCATCAGAGAATTTGGAATCAAGAAGAGAAAGACTTCCAAAGCAAGGCCGAAAGCCTAGGGTAGTGGAAGAGATTGAGATGAGGCAAGTCAAGACAGATGAGCAAATTGTGGACTTGTTTACAAAAAGCTTGAGTATTGGAAAGTTTGTACATTTCCGTCGTCAGCTTGGCGTGATTCAAAGAATGGGGGCTAACATTGAGGGGGAGTGTTGAGAAGTCAATATTAGCCCACACCCAACTTAATTTGATGTCATTGCTTACATCAATTTAGTTAGGTGAAGATGCCATTGCTTATCTCAATTTAATGGAGTAGGTGGTAATAATGTATGGCTAGGAATGTTTCTCAATTTAATATTTGTTTGGTATAGGTTGCATGGTGAGGACTATAAATACCCCATTGCATTTGAGTTATGCATCCTCCAAAAATTTGAGTGTAGTTTCTTGAGTATAAGTTGTGAGCGTTCTATTGAGTGTTTATTTATCTTTAAATTGTGAGTGGTCTTTGGAAAGTGTTGTAGTGTCTTTTATTGTGGGTTTAATGCAAGTAATTTGTTTACTTGTTTGGGTCCAATATTAATAAGTTTATAGTCGTATACTCTAAAATTTACTCAACATATATAACAGTAATTTACAGGTGCTCGATCATATTTAACCCTCCAATTCGATCACTGACGATTTCGATTTTTCAAAAACATATGTTTTATGGAAACATATATGTTAACCTAAGAACAATGTCAACAACAAAAAAATCCATCATTTGCCATGTAATCCTATTTGATTGAACCTTGGGTTTGTTTCATATTCTATGTTTGTACATTGTTTTTCTAAATGTGATTGAACTTTACCTTTATGCTTACACTCTTGTGTTGGATTATTACTGTTATTGTTTGTTGATTAATAGAGCTCATGTTCCTTATTCTCTTAGCCCCACCAAACAATATCACACTATTGTTATGTTCTAATTTAATTAATTTTACTTTTTTATAATTTCTGAATTTCAAAATTTTACTCGTGACCCCAAAAATATAAGAATAAAATGATTAAACTATAAAGAATTAAAAATGACTAAATTAAAATTAAGAATTTAATATTTAATATTTTTAGGTACATATTAAATATTTAATATTTTATGATATATGACCTAATAGTAAAAACTGATTTAATATATTTTATAAAGATAAAATAACATTCAAAATTTTAAAAAATAGATTATAAAAAATGACCAAATCAAAATATAAAGATTAAATCATAACTTAAATACTAGCAAAAGAACTAATAGTTCAACATTATTTTTGAAAGATACTCTGAAAAAGTGATGTGAAAAAAATATATTTTTAAATAATTTGATTTAAAATTTAAGTGTTTATTATTGTTGTTAAAATGCACAATTGAAATGATAAATAATTATATTAGACATGTAACATTTATATTTTTAGTATTTTTTATATTCGAACTCGAAATGTTAAAGTATACCATCAAAGTCGATCGATTTATATCAATTTAAATTGTGATAAAAATATAAAAAATTTGTTAAAAAACAAATTATAACGGTCGCGCGTGTTTCATGAAAATATATAATATTTAAAATAATTTTTAGTGTCTAAAAAATTTATCATGTTAAGATATAAAAATTTTAATCCCACAAATAATATATCAATCATATAATTACTTTTTATAAAAAATATAAAATATAAATCATAAAATAAACAAATATAACAAATAAAATTGTGAGTTGACTAAGATATGATGAAATATAATCCCATAATTTCAAGAGACTATCAAATCTTATTCAGTATGTTAATAACCAACTCATATGACCGTTAATTTTTTAACGAAAAGGACGGGTTTAGAATATATGAATAGTTAAGTGATCATTTTGTAACTTTTAATAGTTGAAAGACTCGATAAAGTAACGACATATAATTGAGAGACTATTTTATAATGTTTAATTGTCGGGAGATTTAATAAAACAACATGTGGTTGTAGTATCATGTGTGTAAATGATCTAAATTCAAAAATAATTTTCAAACCCAATGCTAATTATCTAAGCCTAATAATTATTAGGGTAAACTACAAATTCAGTCTTTAAGTTATCAATTTTAATCTGTTTTAGTATCTATTTTTTAATCAAGCCTAATGTTTAATTTTTTTCATTTTAATACACGTCGTTAAAAACTTAATGCGTTCAATAAATAAACTATTAATTTTAGTTTGTTTTAATACCTAAACTTTCAAAAAAAATCAAAACTTGACGTTTAATAGTCAGAGATTCAACAAATGAGTTGTTGTTATTCATTGATGTTCTGGTTTCAAGTACTAGTAATGCGAGGAGTGTGAGTGTTCAAAGTCAAATGATATAGAGTTGTCTATAAGCAAATATTGTCTTATATAAACTTCAGATTAATCAAATTTTAACGTTAAATTTTAAACAAGATATTAAAATAAAACAAAAATTTAAATTTAAATATAATTTAAAAAATAAAAAATAAATATTAAATTATATCAAAATTAATAGTTTAAATAATAAATGCATAATTTCCATAATTATTAGGTAAATGATGCAAGAAAAGATTAAATATAAAGAAGCAGGACTGACATCACCACCATCTGAACAATAACCGATGGTTACAACAGTCATTTTAGTTACTACAAGTGTCGGTTACCTGTTTCCTTTTACCAATCTTGCAGGTGCGCTTTATCTGGCGGGTACCAATGAAATAAAAAATAAAGTAATAAGCTAATTGTTTCACTAGTACCTATGTTATGGTCAATATTTTAATTTTATTTTTAAATTTTAAAATATTCAATTCAGTTTCATATTATTAATATTTTTAATTTAGAATTAACGTCAGTATGAATTTGGCTTAAAGGGTATTTTAAATATGTGTATCAAACAGTAAATGAATATTTAATAATTATAAAGATATTTTAGATTTAATATTCCAAAAAATAATAGTGTCTATAAAATTTAAAATGATTATTTTAAAATATGTGATATTTAAATTATTTATGTAATAGACATACACATATTTCATGTTTAGCACATTAGGTGATACTAGAGATGTCCATTTAAGGATAAGTGCTGTAATATTCTTCTTTCTCTATTTTTTATTTACATTTTTATTTATTCAAATAAAATAATAAATTTTTATATTTGTATTGCTTTGGATCGAGTTTGATTTTTATCATAAAATTTAAGTTGGATCAAATTCGAGTTTTTATAACAAAATTGAGTCAGATGAAGTTTTCTTAAATCCAAATAGAGTCGAGTCTTGGATGGGAATATAATACTTGAGTCGGACACTAGTCGTTTAAAAACCTGAATCAATTCATCCCGTGACCATTCCTAATTCTGACTAGGATGACAAAAGAGTTTAAACGGTACAATTTAATACTTTAAGATTTTAATTAAAATTTTTAAAGTTTTAAGGAATAAAATAAAATATAAAACATAGTTTAAGGACTTATAGTATAATTAACTCTAACAGAATCAAAGAAAAATCAAATAAAGGGATACATTACACGTTTATTACATAACTATCAATTTTAATATGTTTTAATACCTATATTTTCAGTTTTTATAAAATCATACATAATATTTAGTTTTTATTTCATTTTAGTATACCACCATTAAAAATTTTAGTTTTTGTTTCATTTTGATACTCGTCCAAAGTTTAACGTTAAGTTTTGGAAAAATTGAAAGTTTAAGGACTGAAATTGATCAAAACTGATATTTTAAATATTAAACGCGTTAAGTTTTAGCGTCAGGATACTAAAAGGGAATTAAAACTAAATGTTATGTATGATTTTACAAAAATTAAAAGTTTAGGTACTAAATAGACTAAAACTGATAGTTTGATACTAAATGCTTAGTTTACTCCAAAGAAAGCCGTATAAGGAAAAAGCCCTCTCGAAACCAAACCGTGCAGTATTTTTGAGAGAGCGAAGAAACAAAAGCTTACAGTGAAGGAATCACTTCTTCTTCTTCTTCATCATCATCATCTTATCAAATTTCCTCTCTCGATTGAGCTCTTCCCGATCTTTCTAGAACATTCCTAGCATC